TGGCTGGCCAAGGTCTTTTCACTATATCATTCACCTGCTCTCTACTCTTGGACCTCTCCCAATTCTCTTGGCCTCACCTCTGCAGTCAATATCCAGGGCTCTTGCCAGGTCATAAACCCTGAGTGTTTCACCCATGCTGATTCCTCAGCTTGGAACACCATGCTCAGAATCAAATTGTTTTGAGGGTGTACTCAAATGCCAACTCGTTTTTGGGGGTGGTGAGTATTGAACTCAGAGTATTGTGTATGCTAAGCAGGTGCTCTGCCACCGAGCTACACCCCCAGCACAAATGCTAACTCCTTTGTCAAGCCTTTGCCTGTTCTCTGGGTTTCTGCCACCCTCCCACGACATCTTGTTCAGAGCTCCATGGCAGCACTGGCCACCTTGCATAGCATGGTTTGCTTACATCTGGGAATCTCCACCAGCCTCAGCTTCTAGACTGTTGGGATGAAGGCAGGGGTGCACCTTCTTCACATAGGTATCCCTGGCACTCAGCATAATGCCTGCCTGGAACATGATACTAAAGTAGATGGGTACTAGACTGATCAAACTTTGGGTTGAATATTGCTTTATCACAAACACAGTTTCTAAGGAAAACTGTCTTAATACCTGTTCATATTGGTTGCAAGTAATAAAAACCCATCTTTAGCTAGCTTAGCCACAAATTGTATTACAAAAGTGGTAAATATGAGGGTATAGATGGATTTGAGGGCCCCAGACAATTCCATCGAAGTACACTTCCCATTTCTCATCTCTCATTTTCTTTGCATTTTGGTTTCATTTTTTTCTACCGAAGGCTGGCTGCTCTAAGCCCATGACTCTATAGTATGATCCAAAAGAAAGAGACCTTCCTTTTAGAATCTATACACTAACTCTTACTGCAGGTCTGCTTGGAACTGTTAGTTTAGATGCTCTAACAAATTATAATGACAGGCTGATGAAGCACCATGACTGGCCAGGCTTGGGTCACATGGAGCATTGTGAATAGCTAGCCCTGCAGGAATGACATAGGGTGGGACATTTCTCAACAGAAAGACAAGCACTGGACAGACAAGAACATCAGATATCCACTCCAGTTGCATGTTTTGGTGTTAGGATAGTATTTCCTATACTTCTCATTAAAATATATTTCAGTCAATTTGTCTTTTATCTCTCATTGTATAAGCTGAAATTCATGAGTACCCACTCTTAAGATTGGACTAGAATTCTAAGACAACAGGTGTTCTAGGAGAGTACTTCCCCAACAGCAGTGTGCATGCAAACCAATCTTTATTAAAATATGGGTTCTCAGTAGAGTTGGGACAGGATCTGGGATCTGGCATTTCTTTCAAGTTTGTATTAACAAAATTCTATAGATTGGGTGCTTAAGCAACAGGAATATATTTTCCCCTATTTCTAAAAGGTGGGAAGCCAAGATCAAGATTGGACTCTCTTCCTGGCTACAGATGGCCTACCCCCAGTATCTCAAAATGTGACTGAATTTAGAGATATGGTCTTTAACAAGGTGATTAGGTTAAAATGAGGCTGTTAGGGTGGGGCCTTCAGCTAATATGACTGGTGGCCTTTCAGGAAAAGGAAGAAAGAAAGTTATGCTCACAGAGACAAGGCCATGTGAGGACAATAAGGTAGGTGTTTGGTAGCTAAGAAGAGAGGCCTCAGGAGAAATCAAACCAGCAGACACTTTGATCTTGGACTTCCAGCCTCCATAACAGTAAGAATATGCATTTCTGTTGTTTAAGCCATTCAGTCTTTGGTATCTTATGATAGCAGCCAGAGCAGATTAATACAAGACCTACACAGCTAGATTCCACTGCATTCAGTGTTGATTTGCTGTCAAATGTTAATCTATTTGACAAACAAGCACTAGCTCACTCCTGGCACTGAGACTATACTTATATAAACATGACTCAGTCCCTGCCCTCATTTGGTGATAGCAGAGAAGAGTCTAGAGGTAAGAGAGCCTGGCATATTCAGTAGACCCAGTCCTGTTGGGGGTCAAATGTGACAACAGGCATGGCTAATGAGGAGGCTGAAGGGCCACAAGAGCCAGGAAATGTCAGGACTTGAAGGCTAAGTTGAAGAGCGATGGCTTTTGGGCAGGGTGGAGTAATCCAATTTTATTTTAAGAATTCCCTAATTACAATATGCAGAAGGATTATGGTGGGGAATAGGGGTTGGGGGCCCGCTGAGGAGGCAGTTTCAAAGATCCAGGGGGGGTATGGATGGAGAGTAAGGCACAAATCTAATAACTGCTCCTTCCTGGTGCCTCCTGTGGTCTCTACAAGGAAATGGGATTCTTTAAAGAAGGAGTGTCCTTGCCTTATGGCTTTTGGGGTACAATGAAGAGACAAAGCACATTGAGTTGGATTTTCTCCCTCCTCTACTCTGTGCCTGATAACCAGTTTCTGGAGAGTTTTCCCCCCAGTATACATCCTCTTTGCCCCTTATCCCCACCCCTGCAACAGAGTGCTTGACTTAAGAATAAAACCCTACTAAGGAGGTGGTATGTGAAACTCCCTGAGCATCACTTACTTGACCAGTTCTATGGGAAGAAAACCTCAGACACCACCATGCTCCCATTCATCCATGTTGGCATGTGGGAAACCTAAGTGCCACCTAGGTGGCTTCCTCCTGCTGACACTGCCTAGCCCCTCCTACCCATACCTTTGATATTACCTTCCTTCAGCTGCCTGGCATCTCTCCTAGTCACTGTCTCCATCCTTGCTGAGAACAGATCTCAGACAATTTGGCCTTCCATCTTTTTTCCTTTCTCAGTTCCTTTTGCCAGACAATAGCAGTGTAAGGTGAGTTTTAGCTACTGCCCTGCAACTTCTCTTCCAGGTTGTAATACAGGGGTTCTGAAGCTGGGGTCTGCAAAAAATCTATCTTTATTTTTTACTAACCTGTACCTGAAATTTAGCATTTCCTTTAATCGTGAATGTAGGCAATAATCTACCATAATAGATTATTATTAAGTCACAAAGCCTATGACTTCTTCAGCAAGAGAAGTCATGGATATTTTAAGATTATTTTCGAGCTGTTGCAATAACTCAAAACATCAATTATACTTAACCACTGTAGCATAAGGATTAGACTGTCACTTGATTATATTATTTCACTATTTTTGTTAACAAAGACACATGTAGCAGTCAATGGCACAATGAATGTAAAGAACTTGTGCCCCAGACAATAGCTTAAAGGATTGAGAGGGTCCCTGGAAAGGATGACTGTCTCTGCCCATGGTAGAGCCCTCTCCTATCTTAGGTCCCCATGAGTCCCCCCACGCAGCCCTGAAATTGCCCACCTTGTGCTGCTTTCCTCTTATGTGTGTTGCTCTCTGACTCAAATACCTCCTCGAGGGCACCTGTCAAAACCCTGCTGTCCTCCTGTTCCCAGGAACTTCTTGACTAAAGCTTTGCTTTTTTTTTCTTTTTTCATTTATTGAGGTGAAATTCACATAACATAAAACCAGCCACTCTAAAATGAAGAATTCCACGGCATGTAGCACATTCACTATATAATGCTGCCACCATCTCTATCTAGTCCCAAATTTCCCTCATCCCCAAATAAGAACCCACACTCTTTAAGCAATAGCCCCCCCTGGCTAACACTCTCCTTTGAGCTCACCAATCTGAGTCCTGTCTCTATAGATTTGCACTTTCTGATTAGTTCATATACAATATGCAACCTTTATGTCTAGCTTCTTTCTCTTAACATGATGCTTTCTGTCCATCCAAGTGGTCATGTATAGCAGTGCTTTAGTCCTTTTATGGCTGAATAATATTCCACCGAATGTGTATTCCACAATGTGTTTAATTCTTCATCCACCAAGGGGGTGTTTCTGCCTTTTGACTCTTATAAATAGTTCTGCTATAAACACACATATGGAAGGAATTTTTTTTTAGTTTTTTTGAATACATACCTAGGAGAGGATTTTCTGGGTTGTATGGTTATTCTAGATTTAACCTTTTAAGGAACTGTCAAACTGCTTCCCACCACAGCCATGTCATTTTATATTAACACCAACAACATGTGGGGGTTCCAGTTTCTCCACATCCTTCTAACAAATGTTATTTGAAGTTTTAATTTTTTGGGGGAGGGCTTTTTCCCTGTTTATTTTGTGATTTTTGAGGTTAAAAAAAGCTTAATCCTTTTCATCCCAATTTGTTGATCAAATGTAAAAAAAATATATAAGGTATAGTCGTTTTGGTGAGTGGAAAGTCTGATTTAGTTAATTTGACTAATAATCAAAAAGGATTTAATGTTGTTTTTCCAGCTAGGTGCAGTGGTGCATGCCAGTAATCCAAGTGACTCAGTAGACAGAGGCAGAAGGATCACAAGTTCAAGGCTAGCCTGGGCAACTTAGCAAGACCTTGTCTCAAAATAAAAATATGTAAATAAAAATGACTGGGAATGTCTTTCAGTGGTAAAGCATCCCTGGGTTCAATCCCTGTGCTGAAAAAAAAGCTGTTTCTTTCCAATTATTTCACTTACTACAATTTATGCTGAAGCTTTAGTTTTAAAAGCCTTTCATACTTTCCTTTTGTGCCCATTTCTGATTCTCTACACTCATGTCCAGGCCACCCCTGCAGCATTGCTCTTAACATTATATTGTAATTCTCTGGCCTCTTGTGTCTGTTCATTGTTAGACTCAGAGTTTCAGGCTGGGGCTACTTGTAGACAGAGGTCTGATACCTTTAGAAACAGTTCTGGCCACTTAGGTGGGCAATAGGTGTCTGCAGTGGAAAGGAGTACAATAGGAGGGTGCGTGGGCTCCCCCTTGTGGTGAGTAGGTATAAGCCTACCTACTCTGTCACCTTCCCTGGTCTGTTTCTCCAGCATAACTACTCAATTGACTTTACAAGGAAGAACCGGAGACAAATGAGCTAGCAGATGGGCAAGTATGTTGGGCTTTTTGGAGAAAAGAGGCTGTGTAAATCCAAGTCTTTCTTTGATTTAAGAAACAAGGCAAATGACTCCAAATTGTCTTTTTTTTTCAGGCATGATAAAGTGAAAAATGTGGATCATGGAAAAGACATTTGGTGGAATCTGAATGAATCATCCTGCAATAAATGTAACACTTCTGGGTAAACTGTGCCTCTGACATGCTGGGCTGTAGGCTAATGTTGGGGAGACATGTGTCCCTGTGTGACTAAGCCCTTTATTTTAATATATGTAGTCTCTTGCTGCAAAATTGGAAAAGCTCAAGTCTGTTCTCCTGCTGCTGATAAAAGGACATTTGCCCATGTCCCGTTTACCAAAAGGTGCCCAGCACCAGCAAAGCCAAGATAAATAAAACCTTACCCAGCTCTCAATGTGTCCATACACTGCGAAGCCACAGACTCCATTATTTTGGGAGAAAGAAGTCTCAGTGGCAAGGAATATAAAATTTGTTTCCAGACACACATGAAAGATCTGAGGAGGAGCTGTTATTTGCTGTTTATTTGGGTTTTATTTGGTCAGTTGGGTCCCATCCTTAGACAAAGAGCTAAATATTTTTCCGATGTGTTGGCAGTTTTAGGGCTCTTATAATACTGGTTTCTCTAGTAGCGATAGAAAGGCAGTAGATTAGGTCAGAGGGAAGTATTTAACTATGAGCTTTTCTCAGTTGTAGTTATTTCACCATAAAAAATAGAAATAAAAACAAGAAAAAAAAGGGCTTTCTGCTTGGGAGAGGCAGCATAGGAGATAGGAAGAATGTGCAATTTGTAACGGAAGACCTGGGTTTGAGTCTTAGATCTGCTTCTAACTCGACATGTTCCATGGGACAAGTGTCTGAACTTTGGATTGCTCATTTGGGCCTGTTTTTTCTGTCTTTCCTTTGCATCCCTCGGGAAACACCATTTTTTTTTTTCAGTACTGGGAATTGAACCCAGAGTCTTGGGCATGCCAAGCAAGGTGCTGTACCATTGAGCCACACCTGTCCCCAACATCTAATTTAGCCATGCTTATCTCTGTGCGACTTTGTCGTCTAAAGTTTTCCTCCCCCACAAAGATCTGGCTAAATTTGGCCCTATCTAGTTATAGCCACTCCCTTCCTTGACACCTGTGAATTCCTGGGCTTATCTCCTCCTTCTTCTCCAGGCTGCCTCACCCCTGTGCTCACATGCTGTTGTGAACCTTGCATCAACCCTGACACAGAGCTCAGTTCCTCTCCGTGCCCCTGAGGATCCCCTCACACATGTGAGTGTAGTGGAGACTTGGTGGGGTGGAGGTAGGGCCCGTCCTGGGCAAGCTCACACATCCAGGAGGATCAGGGGCCTTTTCTCAACTGGCTTTCTCTTCCATCCTTTTCATCTTCCCTTTCTCAGCCAGCAATAAACTACAAACTCTTCTTGTGATCTGTACAGACCATTCATTCTGTCCACACACGTCTCAGCTTTCTACCAAATATTTTCCCATCAGAAACAGCCTTCCCTTCCCAGGAGGAATTCTGGTGAGTGACTTTTCTCCAGCTCAGCACCCTTGTGTTGGGAACCCATCCAAGCCTTTGGGGCTCAGTGCTGGGAGGCAAATTCCAGGGTAGCTTCAATAAAGCCTGCCAGGATTTGTGAGCTTGGATGTCTTTTTTACACCCATGACCTATATTTGGTTCTTTCAATAAAAGATGAAAGCAGGTGTCTTTGTACCATTTACAGCTTGTTACTCATTCAAGACATTCTCAAAAATTTTTGTCTCCCACCTTCTCTGCCTGGTTCCTTCTGTTTTCAGTGGAAATGATCTTCTGGGTGGGACTTCCTATAGATGACCACTAGAGGGCACACAATTTCCAGCTCACAAGATCCTTTCTACAGCCAATTCCTGGGGTTTTTGCTGCATAAGAGGACAGTTTTTGTTTGTTCATTTGTTTGTTTTCCCTCAGAAACAGGAATAAATCACTTGAAATTCCCTGGATGCTGCTAAGACGTTTTTTATAACATTCCTCTGCAAAATGCTGACTGCAAGAAACAGACATACTGGCGGGTGGAGGAAGGACTGTGTTCTCAGTTCCCATGTCTCACCCCACCAAGGGGAAGAGAAAAGAGCTGCAGAAAGCTGCACAAATTAGTTTTATTCTTGCTGAGATCACTAAAGAGAATATACTTGTTGGCTACACATGTCTGTTTGGGTCTCGTGGTGTAGTGGAAATATTTTGTAATTAGACATACTGGGATTTATCTCCCACACCCAGGCTTCCTGCCAAGATGGTGGACTAGCAAGGGCTGATGGGGCCTTCTCCTAAGTTAACCTGGAGAAGCTCCCATATGAACTTGATGGGTGATGGGGAGACTGAGGGAGACCAGTGACATGTGCTCTGACCCTTGGGAAGGACTCTTCAGAAAGCTCCTGGACTCTGATCTCAGAGGCATGGTATAGAGACAGTGATGACATTGAGAGGTTATGAGAGGAAAGTAAACACAGTATGGATCAAAAGTTAGGAGAGAGCAGGATAAGGTCTACATTAGAATTCTAATTTCACTTGCCAGCAGGTGAAAATTCAATGGGAAGTGGAAGTAAAACAAAATAATAAAATCCTATGCTATAAATGAAACATCTGAACGAAATGCTGAAGTGAGTCCTCATAAAATAGTAATTAAACACTGCTCAGTTTCAGCACTTACTAGGGCCAGGACCTTGGATAGGATACATGAACTTTTCTGAGCTTTAGTTTCCTTATCTCTAAAATAGGTACAATTTATATGGCCATGAGTTTATTGTGAAGATTTTGTATTATAATGTACATAAAAGAAGACTCTCGTGCCTGGCTTGCAGTAGATGGTCAACCTTTTAGTTCTTGTTTCTCTTTTCGCTTTTTACTACGTTTTGAGTCTACAGACTTATTCGTTCAAAAGTATTTCCTGAGTGCTTATATCAGTTAGGTTATGTGCAGCGGCAAGAGGCAGAAAACTTTACATAAATAAACAATCAGGAAAACAATATCTCTGCAGTGAGATATTATCACCGCACAGGTAATGGTATTATTATACAGGCAGCATAGTGAAAAGATATCTCATCACAAGAAGTCCTGTAAGGCACAGTGCCAGTGCTGGTTAATGTAGAATCTTAGCAAAATCATCAAGAACTCAGGTTGTCTCCATAGTTCAGCTCTGCCGTCCTCAGCAGGGTGACATTTGTCCTTGTGACCATTATTATGGCTTTGGTACAGCTGCCATTCCACTCACTGAGGGAAAAGCATGGTCTCTTTCCTCTCCTATGACTCTGGAATTTTCCTGAAACTATCCCAGAAGTCACCCCAGCAGCCCTTCCCTCATGTCTCCTTTACCATTAAGGATGATGCCCATCCCTGGATCAGTCCTGGGAAGGTGAATGGATTTCCATGATTGGAACCCATGAAGCATGATTCTTCCTAAGATATCTGTCCCTTATTCTTCTGGAGTAGTTGATACCAAAGAAAAATCAGGGTCCACTTGGAAGGAAAAAGGGAGAGTTAGCTGTGGGGAAGGCAGCAAGAGTGCTTTCCAGGCACTGGAGTTGGTTAGGGCTCAGAGTTGTTAATGGCCAGACTTCAACGTAGGAGTGTATACATGCTGTGCAGGGAGATCTGAAAGGCAATAACTCAAAGTTGGTGGTCAGGGGGACTAACTGGAGGAGGTACTGTTTGGATGGGTAAAGACAGAGTTTCCCAGATGACTGGGGTAGGAGTGGCTTAGGAGCATGACTGAAGCTGGGAACACGTGTGATCGCCTTCTCAGGCAACTAAAAGACATTCACCTGGGATAGAGGAGGCCAGCTGGTCGGCAGGGCTCAGTCACAGAGGCTTGGAGACTGTGTTGGCGTTCCTTTGTGCCAGCAATGGATCAGGCACATTTACGGCAACGTTCTTTAAAATGTGGGGGGTGAAATTCACGCAGTGGTTTATAACCAACATCTCAAAAGAATCAATGGCAACTTCTTAAATGGTGACTGCTATATCCAAGGCACTGTTTTGAGAGTTTGATAATTCCGTTTTTTTGTATTTATATTTTTAGGCACTCATTGATCCTCCGAGGTTGTTACTGTTGTTATCTCCCTTTTGCAGATAAGAAAACTAAAACACTTGCCCAACATCTGTTAGGGGTTGCATTGTGCCCCCTTAAAAATGGTATGTTGAAATCCTGACCCTCAGTACCTCAGAATGTAGTCTTATGTGGAAATGGGGCTTCTGAGGATGCAGTTAGTTGAAGGGACTTTGCTCCAGTATGTCTGGTGTCCTCATAAGAAGGTGTCCATGTGAAGATGTGAAGGCAGACATGCAGGGAGATGACCACATGAAGATGGAGGCAGAGATTGCAGTAAGGCTTCCACAGCTAAGGACCATCAAGAGTGCCTAGAATACACACCCAGAAAATGTATAATGAATGTTTGTTGAATGAATATCAAAGGACATACAGCGAAAAATAAGAATGAAATGTAGTTAGATCGTCATTTTTAATGTCCTCCCCATACCCTGACTGTAGCATCAAACTCCTCCCCACTACACATCTCCACCATGTCCCTTCCACCTCTGTGACTCTACAGTTCCATGTCTGCCTCTCCTGTTCATTACTGAGTAGAAAAATAGTGCTGGTGGCAAATTGTGTGTCCTCTACTGAATCATAAGCCCTGCAATAAGGAGCTGAATGCCCAAGTCGGCTTCAGGGATATGTGTGACATTTGTGGAGCCTCAAACCCTGATCTACAGCAGGGGATTATAGCAGTGTGCACGTCCTTGTCTGCTAAGACCACGGTTGTGTCTCAGAGTGCCTGACAGGATTAAACATGGTCTAGACTAATGGGAGATTCAGCGGAGATTTATGGCCCTATATAAAGAAATATAAATTTTTTGGTTCTCATTCAAACCATTCCCAGGCTACCAATGAATTTTATTTTCTAGGTGTCAGGATGAATTGAACCTTCTGTATTAGGAAGCTGACTCAATCCTAGGAAGGCCCCTCCAGCCAAGCCAGGAGCTATGAGTCTTTTCTTCTTTGTGTGCACTGATGGGGATTTGTTGCATAGAAATCATCATAAAGACCTACTGTCATCTGAGTTTTGCTCTGGAGGAGATTCTTCCTGTACCTGGGATATGCAGGAAGAGCCCAACTAGGATGATGAACTGCCTCAATTTGCCTGGTATTCTTTCAGTTTTTGCATTGGAGGTCCCATGTCATAGGAAACCCTGAAGTCCCCAGCATGATCACTCTAGTATGTCCCCCTCATCCTCCAGTCAAATGGACTTTTAGCAAAATACAAACTGCCTTATTTGAATTCTGACCTGGGCACTGACTAAATTCAAGTTACCTCACCAATCTGTGCCTAAGTTTCCTCATCTGTAAAATGG